ATGACTCGAACGATACGAATAGCTTCGCGGACCTAGCTCGAGTAGTAGACCGAGTTCAGACCTCTGGATGCAACAGATGAACGCGCCTTATCATTCTGCATCGGTTTCTGTGCGCATCAGCACTGTAGCTTCCCTAGAGCTCGAGTTAAGTACAGAGAACCGACAGTCCCTGTGGAGATGACTCGAGCAATACGAATAGTTTTGCGGACCTTGCTCGAGTAGCAGACCGAGTTCAGACCTCTGCATGCGACAGACTGACACGCCTGATGCCTCCGAATCGGCTTCTGTAATTGTCTGCCCTGCAGCCTCCCTACAGCCTGAGTTAAGCAGAGAAAACCGACAGCACCTCTCAAGATGACTCGGACAGTCCAAATTAGTTTTGCGGACCTAGCTCGAGCAGCAGACCCAGTTCAGACCTTAGATGCAACAGACGAACGCGCCTGACTGGAAACCGGCGGTAAACCGTCAACCAGGTTACCGCCGGGGCCCTCGTAGAGCTCTTATCTCGCACGACGTTCCTCGGTACACATGAAGGAAGAGTCTGGAATAAGACCCCAAAAAATCAAAACAAAACAACAACCAAAAAAAAAAAAAAGTTTTCATGTTTTTATCCAAAGACGGTTCCACCAAGTGCTTTGATAGTAATACTGCACCTACGGACCTAAGAATTTGACTGGCAGACGCGGCATAACCCACAACAGGTGCGAAAAATCTGGTTTTCAAAATGAATTGTCAAATATCTTTCAAATCTTCGCAAAACCGACCCAAAGTTACCACATTGTCCTTTCTGGTCGGGTCGGCCAACTAGCTCCACCCCGCGCCGGAATTCCTCTAGCTCATCGATGACGAAGAGCTCTACGAGGTATGATTGAATATCGGTTTCTGTAAGCATCAGCTCTGTAGCTGTCATAGAGCTCGAGTTATGTACAGAAAACCGTCACCTCGTGTCAAGATGACCCGTCACGGCCGATCCTGCCGGCCTGCTTTTTGGCAGTGATATCTACCCGATCGATCTGAGATTAAGATGGCGAGCGGGAATAAGATCGAATATCACCAGAAAAAAAAACACTAGAGCTCTAACGAATGGTTGAGTTTCGAGAACAAAATTTTCAACCGAGCAAAAGTCAGCAAAAGGTCCGTCGAGATTTTTCTTCACAACTAGCTCTCCAGCGCCCCGGAACTGGAAACCGACGGTAAACCGTCAACCAGGTTACCGCCGGGCCCTCGTAGAGCTCTTATCTCGCACGGCGTTCCTCGGCACACAGGAAGAGTCTGGAGTAAGACCCAAAAAATCCAAAAATCAAGTTTTTATGTTTTTATCCAAAGACGGTTCCGCCAAGTGTTTTGATAATAATACTGCACCTACGGACCTGAGAAATTGACTGGCAGACGCGGCATAACCCACTACAGGTGCGAAAAATCTGGTTTCTCAAAATGAATTGTCAAATATCTTTCAAATCTTCGCAAAACCGACTCAAAGTTACCACACTGTCCTTTCTGGTCGGGTCGGCCAACTGGGCGCCGGCGGTAAACCGTCAATCTTTCTTACCGCCGGGGGACTCGTAGAGCTTCCTGACCATATATTATGTCACAAAAAAATTGCAGAAAACGAAAAGTTTTTCAGCCCGAGCTGATAGCAGATTGATCTCAGGCGTCTAGTGATATCCCATTGCTGTGCTGAACAGTTCTGTAGCTCATCCCATTGCTGTGCTGAACAGTTATGTAGCTCATCTGCAGCGTGTAGAAAACACCATTAGGGAGAAAGTAGCAGAGTACGAATCCGTGTTTGGCGTCTGCGTTCACAACAGATCCAAACCCAGCGTCTGGATGCTTCACGCCTCACGATTTCCTTCTGATTTTTCGGCCGCTCGAGTTCAGTGAAGAAATTCACCACCATTTTGAGAACCTAGCAGCAGACCTAGCAGCAGACCGAGTTCAGACCTCTCGATGCAACAGACGAACGCTCCTGATGCTTCTGTATCGCTTTCTGTGCGTACCAGCTCTGTAGCTCTCCATCAGCCCGAGTTTAATACGGAAAAGGGACAACATCTGTCAAGGTGACTCGAAGAACGAATAGTTTTGCGGACCTAGCCCCAGTAGCAAACCCAGTTCAGACCTCAGCACCTCCCAAGATGACTCGAACACTACAAATAGTTTCGCGAACCTAGCTCGAGTAGCAGACCGAGTTCAGACCACTCGATGCAACAGACGAACGCGCCTATTCGCGAACCTAGCTCGAGTAGCAGACCGATTTCAGACCTCTCAATGCGACAGGCGCACGCGCCTGATGTCTCCGGATCGGTTTCTGTGACTGCCAGCCCTGTAGCCCCCCTACAGACCGAGTTAATTACAGAACACCGACAGCACCTCTCAAGATTACTCGAACAATACGAATAGCTTCGTGAACCTAGCTCGAGCAGCAGACCGAGTTCAGACCTCTCGATTTAACAGACAAACGCGCCTTTCGATTTTCAATCGGTTCTGTAAGTATCAGCTCTGTAGCTGTCCTATAGCTCGAGTTAAGTACAGAAAACCGACGATGCGTGTCAAGATGACTCCAAACGGCCGATCCCGCCCGTGTGCTTTTTGGCAGTAATATCTACCCGATCGACCTGAGATTAAGACGGCGAGAGGGAATAAGATCGAATATCACGGGAAAAAATACTAGAGCTTAAACGAATGGTTGAATTTCGAGAACAAAATTTTCAACCGACCAAAAGTCACCAAAAGGTCCGTCGAGATTTTTCTTGCCAACTAGCTCTCCAGCGCCCAGGAATTACTGGCGCCGGCGGTACACCGTCAACCTTTCTTACCGCCGGGGGACTCGTAGAGCTTCCTGACCATAAGAATGTCGGAAAACAAAAAAAAACAAAAAAAAAAAAGAGAGAGAGAGAGAGAGAGAGAGAGAGAGAGAGAGAAGAGAGAGAGAGAACGAACATTTGTTCAGCCCGAGCGATTTCAGATCTCTCGATGCAACAGCGGAATGCCTCTGATGCGTTTTCTGTGCGCACGAGCTCTGTAGCTATCCTACAGCCAGAGTTACGTGCGAAAACCGACAGCAACTCTCAAGATGACTCGAACAATATGCATAGCTTCGCGAACCTAGCTCGAGTATCAGACCGAGTTCAGACCTCTGAGTGCGACAGCTGGACGCGCCCGATGTCTTCACATCGGTTCCTGTGCTTACCAGCCCTGTAGCCCCCCCACGGCCCGAGTTAAGTGCAGAAAACCGACAGCACCTCTCAAGATGACTCGAACAATACGAATAGTTTCGCGGACCCAGCTCGGGCAGGAGACCGAGTTTCGAGCTCTAGATTCAACAGACGAACGCGCCTGATCATTCTCAATCGATTGCTGTGAGTATGAGCTTTGTAGCTGTCCTATAGCTCGAGTTAAGTACAAAATACCGTTAGTACGTATCAAGATGACTCGAAACGGCCGATCCCGCCTGGACGCTTTTTGGCAGTAAAATGGACCCGATCGAGCTGAGATCAAGACGGCAAGCGGGAATAAGATCGAATGTCACGGGAAAAAATACTAGAGCTTAAACGAATGGTTGAATTTCGAGAACAAAATTTTCAACCGACCAAAAGTCACCAAAAGGTCCGTCGAGACTGGGAGCCAACGGTAAGCCGTCAACCAGGTTACCGCGGGAGCCTCGTAGAGCTCTTGTCTGCACGACGCTGCATGGAACACATGGGGGAAGCTTTCTTACGCGTGAGCTGAAAAAGCTTTAAAAATTACGTTTTTCAGCTTTCACCGAAAGTCGGTTCATTCGAGTGGGGAACAAACAGCACCTCTGAGATCTCTCGTATGATACGAATAGTTTCGCGGATCTAGCTCCAGTAGCAGACCGAGTTCAGACCTCTCGATGGAACAGACAAACGCGCCTGATGATTCTGCATCAGTTTCTGTAAGTAGCAGCTCTGTACCTCTCCTAAATCTTGAGAAGTACAGAAAACCGTCAACGCGTGTCAAAATGCTCGAAACGGCCGACGGTTCCCTCAAGTCTTTTGATAGTAATATTGCAGCTACTGAGAATTTCACTGGCAGGCGCGGCACAACCCACTACAGGTGAGAAAAATACTGGTTCCCAAAACGGACTTTCAAATTCTGCACACAAAGATTGCAAAACCGACCTAAAGTTACCACATTGTCTCTTAAGATCGGGTCGGCCAACTAGCTCCACCCTGCGGCCGAATTCCTCTTAGCTCATCTTGCCGAAGAGCTCCACGAGGAATGTTTCTTCCAACTAGCTCTCCAGCGCGCCGGAATTACTCTTAAGCTTCAGCAAATTGCTGAGGGAAGCTCCACGAGTTACTTTCAAGCTTCCAGCTAGCCAAGGGAGGCTCTACGAGTTACTAGCTCCATCCCGCGCCGGAATTCCTCAGAGCATCCATGACCAAGAGCTGCATGGGAGCCGGCGGTAAACCGTCAACCAGGTTACCGCCGGGAGCCTCGTGGTGCTCTTCCTCGCACGGCGCTGTTCGTTACGAGAGATCTTCCTCACACGTGAGCTGACAACTCGGAAAATACGTTTTTTTTAGTTTTTTATACAAAGGCGGTGCCTTCAAATTTTTTGATTATAACTGCAGCTACGGACCTGAAAATTTCACTGGCGGACGCGGCATAATCCACTACAGGTGCTAGAAATACCGGCTCTCGGAACACATGTTTTCATCTTTGAGAACTGGCACCGATGGTAAACCGTCAACCTGGTCAACGAGGAGGCGGAGGGCGAGCAGCGCGCGCAGGCCGCGGGGCGCGGGCAGCCGAGGCGGAGGGCGCCAGGGAGGCGCGAGAACAAAGAGCCGCGGTCGACCATTTACATGGACGACAGGACTTGGACCGCGACGACCGCTGTGGAGGCGGTAGGACGGGTGGCAGTCTGGAGGCGCTGGAGCGCGCGTGTGGGGCTGCGCGAGAACCCGCGGAAGATCCAGTTAGTCGCCCGCGGACGCAGAGAGGACGGGGAGCTGCGCGAGGAGGCGGCACGGCAGGGCTGGAGGACAAGGTGTTCCCGGTGATGGAGGCCCTGGGAGTGGTCACGGTGGGAGCACGAGGCCGCGAGATGCACCCCAAGGAGGAGGAGGGGATGCAGAGTGCACTGCGGAAGATCCGGCGCCTACAATGCTTGCCTGCGAGCAGGCGCAAGAAGCAGGAGCACTGCCGGGCTTTCGGGCTGTCCAAGGGGACCTACGGCTGGATGGCCAAGACCCCGCCGAGGGCTAAGGCTGACCGGGTGACGGCGGCAATCCGGCGGAGCGCAGGAGGATGCCCCATGGGATCCAGGCATATTATGAATATCCTGGAGGGTGGCGCGCTCGCGGCTGACGCGGTGATTGGCTGCAGGCAGGTGGCCACAATGCGGAGGCGGCTGCGGAGGAGAGGCAACGCCCCCTGGCACACGAGATGGCACCGCAAGCGAAGCACCCTGGCGGGGGAGGTGCGGTGCTGGCTGCGGAAAATGGGCTGGCAGGAGGAGGGCGCCTGGAAATGGCGGCACCCTGGCACGGGCACAGAGCTGGACCTGCAGGAGAGGCCGGCCTGGGACGAGGTCGAAAAGGATGTGCATGCCCGGCATATGCACAAGGTCCGAGAGGGCTGGCGCTAGTTCAAGCGCCAGAGGCGGCGGGATGCGGCGCCGACGCAGGGCGTCGCCTACGACGAGGCCCGCGTGAAGTTGGCCAGGAATGCGGCGCGGGCAGGAGCAGGGACGCGATGCACGTGATGTGCGGATCCTTCCTGTCGCCGCTGGCGGCGAAGGCGGCTGGGGCAAGTTCGATGAGGCATGCCACTGCATGTGGCCAGGGTGCGGGGAGGCCCTGCCGGACCAGGACCACATCATGTGGGCGTGCCAGCACAGGCCCCGGCATGCGCCGAATCGACCGGCGGACGAGCTGCAGGCGCGCTGGGGCTGGCCAGCAGGAGGCACCAGGGAGGAGGATGAGCTCCTGCTCCGCTGGATGGAGCGCACGTGGGACTGGCGCCAGCGGTGAACCGTCAACCTGGTCACCGCCGGGGACCTCGTAGAGCTCTTTGCACGCGTGAGAGCGCTTAGATTTGAGGCAGAGAGCTTATTGGAGCGTTTCTAGAAAAACGTAAAATTTTCATTTTCGGTTGTCAACTTCATGTCGGTTGCTCCTAATTTTCCGATAGTAAAACTGGCCCTAGAGAGCTGAGCTGCTCTGGGAACAAATTTCATGTTCCAATGCTCGGCGTAAAAATCTGTTTTCTCAGAGTGAATGGTCAAATATCTTTCAAATATTTGCAAAACCGACCCAAAGTTGTCACATTGTCTCTTTTGGTCGGGTCGACCAACTAGCTCCACCCCGCGCCGGAATTCCTCTGGCTCATCGATGCCGAAGAGCTCTACGAGGGATGTCAGATATCCCGGCCGCCAGTGGATGACGGCGCGCGGAGGGCGCGCGGGGGGTCGCTCCAGGGAGCGAGAGCGAAGGCGACCCCCTCCAAGGGGAGGAGGAGCAGCAGCAAGAGGACGAGGAGGCCGAGGAGGCTGAGGAGGAGGAGGAGGAGGAGGAAGAGCGGGCTCAGGAGCGAGGAGGCAGGGCAGAGGCGGGGAGGGCTCACCACGAGGAGCGAGGAGGCAGAACAGCGGCAGAGACGGAGAGGGCTCGCGACGAGGAGCGAGACGGCAGAGCAGAGGGAGGAGGAGGAGGAGGAGGAGGAGGAAGAAGAGGTCGAGGAGGGGCGGGGGCACCCGCACAGGCGGATCCAGGAGGGAGCAGGGGCGGAGGCGGCGGAAGCAGCAACCTGCAGACGCCGGGGATAAGCCTGCAGATGCCGGGGCAATACAAGAGGAGGAGGCGGCGGAGGACGAGGGCGAGGGCAAGGAAGAAGAGGCTGAGGAGGAATAGGAGGGCACAGAGAAGTCTGTGGAGGAGAAGCAGAGAAGGCCGAGGGGGGGCCCGCCCCCAGGTAGCATCGACTTTTTATTCTTCATTGTCGTGCCGCTGCGCGCCAACACCGGCGCGGGGCCGCGGCAGCAGCAACGTTTTCTCCCGTCAACCTCGTCACTGCCGGGAACGTAGAGCTCCTTCCACGCGCGAGAGTGCTCAGAGTCCAAGAAGAGAGCTTCTGGACGCATTTCTTCTAGAGTTAATATTCATTTTTGTCATGTCCACATAAAACTGGTTCCGCCAAGTGTAAAAGTGGCCTACATAGCTCATAATATGACGCAGAGGCCCTCACAGTTCTCTGAAGGTGCCGAAAATCTGGTTCCTCAAATGAATTGTCAAATATCTTTCAAATCTTGGCAAAACCGACCCAAAGTTATGACATCTTCTTTTCTGGCCGGGTCGACGCTCCACTCCGCGCCGGAATTTTTCTAGCTCATCGATAACGAAGAGCTCTATGGAACCGGCGGTAAACCGTCAACCAGGTTACCGCCAGGAACCTCGTGGAGCTCTTTTGTTGCACAGCGCTCCTCAGAACACATCAAGAAAGCTTCCGAAGCGAAAGCAGAAAAACTCGAAAAAACACGAATTTCCGGTTTTCATCGAAGTCGGTTCCAACTGGCAGCCGAGGCATGTCCCACTACACGTGAGAAAAATCTGGTTCCTCAAAATCAATTGTGACATATCTTTTAAATCTGAGCAAAACCTGCCAAAGTCACCACTTTGTCTCTTAAGCCGCCAACTAGCTCCACCCCGCGCCCGTATTTCTCTAGCTCATCGATGCCGAGAGCTCTACGAGGTACGAGGTAAGTTCGCCCAACCGAACCGGCGGTAAACCGTCAACCTGGTCACCGCCGGAAACCTCGTGGAGCTCCTTTCATGCGTGAGAGTGCTCAGAAGTGAAGGCGAGAGCTTTCAGAGGCATTTCTCAAAAAAATGAACTTATTTTTTTATGCCGACATAGAGTTGGTTCCTCCAAGTGCTTTGAAAGTAAAAGTGCGCCTACAGAGCTCATATTAAGACGCAAGGGCCCTCATAGTCGTACAGATGCGAAAAATCTGGTTCCCCAAAATAAATTGTCAAATATCTTTCAAATCCTAGCAACTGGCGCCGGCGGTGAGCCGTCAACCTGGTCTGCGAGTTCTGCGCTGGCCGATTCGAGCACCCTAAAGAGCAGGCCACTACACAGAGAACCTAAACAGCGAAGCTGTACAAGGGCAGCGAAGCTGATAGATTAAAGCGGGAAGATTATGCAGCGAAGCTGTAAAAGAAATGTGCCATCCACATATATGTGTGCACAAATCAACAACTCCCGACAATAAACTCTGAGATGCAGCACGTTCCGCCTGGGTGATTGCACAGTGGGAAGGGAGTATAAACGCCCGCTTGGCTACACCGAGCTGCCAACGATTAGAGGGGAGGCCAGGGGGGAGGGAGGAAGAAGGCAAATTAGAAGAGATAAAAATGTCAATCACCAAGCCACAAGATGTGCCTAACTCACATCTGCCACCATCAAAAGAGCCTCTCACCGCGTGTACACTATGTTAATTCGAACGAATAGAAGAAAGTGTATTGAGGTCCCACCGCACATCTGAAGTAGTCTGCCCTTCTCTGGCCACATGCGTCTCATGGTCCGCCTCAGTGTTCCCCTCCCGATAAACCCATTTCCAAATATCACGGCCCGCTTCAGGACTATAGATCTGGAACTGCTTACACACGGCGTACAAATTATTTTGCATATCGGCAATGGTTTTACTATATATCTCATTCATACATCTGTTTTTACCCGTCAGCCAACGTGCTATACACTGACTATCTCCCCTCATCTCTAGAGCCAGCCACCCAGGGTTCATCCTCCAGTTGGTTTCGTCCTGGAAAAGCGCAACTAACCGTTTAGTACGACGTTCATTTTCACGTTGCAGTTCGGCCTCTGTTTTAGTCTCCTCCTCCTCCTTCCAATGGGTACCCGAAGTAGCATCTTTTGTCAGGCAGAATTCCAATATCTTGGATAGATCAAGCTTCTGCAGCGTGTCCACTAAAAAGGTCTTCCAACCTAGCTCCGTCCAACACATACTCTGATCCCAATGAGGCCCCTGAGAGACTTCGAACACCGTAAACCAAGGCTGGAGACTCTGCGTAACTTTGTGCGAACGCCGACGAGAAAACCCACGACCACGGGCGCCAAAAGCAAGAACCATGGCATCACGATGATCAGTGTACTCCCCTGACGCATGCATCATACACAGCGCGCTCTGCATAGACGGTGTGGCCCAAACCTTCGTGAAATCCACGCGTGCACGTTTACGAGGTGGATCCAAAGCCGGCTGCGAAACAGGCTGGGGCGGGTCTTCACGACGCGGGCGAACGTTACGACGCATATCTGTGATTTGCTGGCGACGGTTGCGCACAGGAGCACAGGTGAGTCACACAGAACATGAGGCAACTCAGGTTCACGCGATAGAATCCCGTGGCTGAGATCGTCACAAGCAGGCTGAGCAAGATGACCAAAAGCCGTACACACAACATGTTTAGCGAACACCCACTGCCGATACAAAGTAAGCTGCACAAGTGAAGGCCTGGAAGAGTTGAGCATCAACATGCGTGCGTGCCTGATCCGTGAACTCCAATATGCAGCCCACGTCTGATTCACCCTCTTACGACGACGACACATAGCCGAGAGAAACTTCCCTTCCTCCACGTGAATCAACGTCAAACTATTCGCATCACAAGTGGTGCCCTCGACGCCGTAAGGGAAGCAAGAGCGAACGCGTGCATCATACCGTGCAAGCTTGCGGCCCATTGGAATAACAGCACTAGTGTAGAAATCCGCATCAATCCAAAAGCTCTGGCGTGCTTTCTTCAGTCGGCGAAGTATATCTGCATGATCTGAGAACTCTACGTCCAACAAGGTGCCCAAAACGATTGTCTGAGTAACGTGCGGAATGGTATAAGAGATCGGCTCAGAGAAGTGCGTGCGTTCCTGTGGTCTGACGACCTCACCGCGAGCCGAGCCCGTGGGATTGGAAGACTTCACGACGCCCGGAAGCAAGCTAGAAGGCACCGAAATCTGAAGTGCACGAGGCGGTCCAGAGCAACCACAAGCAAGGTATTCTAAAGAGCTGTCCTTCCACCTGAAGCCGTGTCGGTGAATTGCAGTAGTCAGATCCGTGAGCATGGCCAGCATATCCTCCCGACGTGAAGCCACTAAGATAACATTGTCAGCCCAAAGCCAATGATTGACGAGCAACTCGGACGCTTCAATAGAGAGCTGGATACCATAGCCGCGATCTCGCCACCGTGAAACGACAGGCGCCAGAATGCATAACGATTTAGCCACCCATAAAGCTGGAGCCTCCATGGAGCCTGTACGATCCTCGGGAACCTCGTAGGGCTCCTTCAACGCGTCAAAGTGCTCAGAGTCGAAAAAGATAGATTCTGGAGACATTCCTCGAAAAAATCAACAATCATATTTCTCATTTCTGGATTAAGTAAGTTCCGTCAAGTGTTTTGATAATAACTGTGCGCCTAGAGAGCTCATATTTTGACGCAGAGGCCCTCATAGTCGTCAACTGCAAAAAACTGTTTTCTCAAAATAAATGTTCGCAAAATCATCAAAAAAATGTCACTTTGTCCGAGCGGGCCGAGTAGACCAACTTGCTCCACCCTGCGCCAGAAT